GGGGTTATTCTGTGCCAGCGCAGGTGGAAATGGCGGCATATGGGGAATTGGGCGGTTTCATTACAATATTCAGAAGAAGAGTGACGGTAAGAGGAACAGAACCAACGGAAATTTGAAATCCTCTAGCTCAGTGGAAGCCACAGGAGGCGCCGCCGGTCACCGGTTCCCATTCAAGCAAGCCGCCACCGCTGCCTCCCTCGCCCTCACCGGCGACAACACCATTGCTCAGGTTGGCCACCACTGGGTCAGAAACAAATACATCGTTGCCTGTTCTCATGATTTCAAGGTCAGTATGTAACTATGTGCATATTTTTCGAGAACTCATCTGGGATTTTGGAATTCCGAGGACTTTAATGTCTTTGTGAAGTTCATTTCTCATATTAGCTAAGTAATTCAGTGTAGGTATATTTCTTGCTGTAGTTTACACATTTGTATGGATTTTTCTAGAAATAGATAACTTGGGGTTTAGGATTGTCCTTTTACCCATTTAAGTTATGATCTATAATTCCGTTTAGTTATGAGCATTATCAATGCAAACAGAGAACAAGTATGGTGAAAATTCTAGGGTTTTTAAGGAGCTTTACCAATCTCTCTACTTATCCTCTGTTGGGCTGTGGAAATAATGAACAATGTGTTTCTTAGAAAGATACAAAATTTATGTGCAATGTGTGTAATCTACTTCCAAATAGTCAAGGTGATTTCCTAAGCTTCTTAGTGATAGACCGCATCATCCCATGACACGATGACACTATCGTTTCTTAAGAAGAAAATAGACTTGAGACGGCTTCAAAAGAAATCTTTTGTGAAGCTCATTTAAATGCTTAGTTACCAAGGGCTTTAGTTTTGTATGTTCCTAGTCAAATGAAGTTGAAATGACTTGTATCCTTTCTATTTATGCTACTTGGCAGTTAAAAGGACTTGTATCCTTTTTATTCATATATGTTGATAAGGAACTGTGAATTACTATTTGCCTATTTTTTATGATAGAAATGAACAATGCTCTAACATTAGATAACGCAATAGAGTAAGTTTGGACATGAGAGAAAACGAGTGGAGGTCTTGTTTGGTTTCAGATGAGATCAGAAACAAAATAAAAGTGAACTATGGTTTTCCTGTGGGGTCATAAATATTTGGAATTAGAAGGTTGGAATATTGGAGATAGATTCAATTTATTCCTTCTTTCTTTCGAAACCGATCAAAAGAAAATAATTTCTGTCCATCCATTTTCCCATTAATTTTCTGTTCCTCCACCTTCTATCCTCTTCACTTCCTTTCTCTACAAACCAATAATGTCCTCTAGTAAAGAATGTTGATATGGTATTGAAAGCTTTGTTAGGATTTAGCATATGCTAATGTACTGTGAAATTATTATATTGAAATGGATGTGAGCTAAATCAGCAGGTCCGAGATAACTCAGGATTTTGATGGGCCTTACAAAGAATTAACAATTTATTGAGAAGCGAGTCCTCTTACATTTTGTTGACTTGGTTTCTGATTGAAGGTCTCACACCGTGATCTGAGTAGTTAAGACTGCCCCAACATTAAATTAGACAGCCAAAGAATTTCCATAGAAATTGATCTAACGATTATTTGCATTCTAGTCCATTCTTGTCATATATCATCTAGCTATTTGATGTCTACAATTAGTTTCTATACTGTCTAGCAATTTGTGAAAGTGTTGAGATAATTTTACAAATATTGCGTGTTTTCTTCACTTATCATAAGCATTGCAAGCCTTAACCTAAAAGATAAATGATCTCAGAGAGATCCTGGACTTTTAATTCATTCTCAATCAAATATTATCTTGGTAACAAAAAGCATAGGCTGCACCATCTTAATGTGCTTATCACCATGGAGATTTTTTTATCAATTAATTTATGCTTGATATATACTTTGTATTCATGAATAGGAAAACATAATGTGCACGTGCATGCGCACAACTTCTACTTAGTGTGCATTTTTAGGTAGTTTCTTGCTAACGAAAGTTAGCAGAGACAAGTGTCTGGCATATCATCTAATGCCATATCATCCCGCATCACCAACAAATGATTTTCTTCAATAATTACAAAGATTATTAGGTATTTTACTTTCCTTCTAAAACCTGATAACTTTTATCATACTCAATTAACATTGCATATGCTTGCTTGTTTGTTCACCGAGAACCCTTCTGGTAACATTTTCAAAACACTCAAGATCCAAGCTGTTCATTTCTTTGTCGTTCTCAAGATGAACTATTGACAAATACAACATATCTAAGAACTTGTTTCTCTTTTCATGTTACTTTTATAGCAAGGAACTTTTATGCTGAATAGCCTAAATTCATTCATTTGATTGACAACTACTTAAAATTTTATTTCTTTACAAATTCTTCCTTATGATATAATGGAGGTTGTTTTGTCTGAGCATGACTGGATTACTGCCCTCCAGATGACTTCGTATGGTTTCCTATGATATGGTCCTGGTTCCTATGCATGGTATCAGTTCCTTGATCATAGCATGCCAAAGCAAACTGTTGAGAGCTTATTGATGAAGGTGGGTTAGCTGTGAGCTTTGAGCCTTGACTGTACTTAGGATCTTACAGACAACAATGAACAATTTTTTGGTCTTCCTTCTTGCAGGCATTGTTAAACCAAATTGTACTAGGTCCAACTGTAATTGCTGTTGTTTTTGCATGGAACAATTTATGGCAAGGGAAACTTGCGGAGCTTCCAAATAAATACAAAATGGATGCCCTTCCTTCCCTATTTTTTGGTGAAGTCCTTGAATTTTAATCCCATTCCGTATTTACATTTTACTGAAGTCGAATTGTTATTGTTTTTAATATTATGTCTCCAGGGTTTCGATTCTGGATTCTTGCGAGCATATTGAAACAGTTTGTGAAGGTTCTTAAGATCTTTACATGGCGTTTTAGTGCCGTCTGTGGATCGTCACTTGGAAAAATACCAGCTCATTATTTGACCTCTGCCGCTGCACAGTAGATTCAATCTTTTTCAGTTTTTATTTCTTCCATTGCGGAGTTGTATCGTCACTTAAAGCCTGCACTCTTCAAAATTTCAAACATCATTACTAATTACTGACAATTGGCTCTTAAAGATAGTTGTGTTCATGTAAGGGTGTAGAAGAGTTAGGTCTTGACGAAGTGTGATCCATTTCTAATTTGAGGAAGATGGACGGATCATCGCTCCAGGGAGATAAAATGACTGTGCTGAGAAAGTACTTTTAACTTTTTGGATAGAATTCCGACTTCAAACATGAATATACTTACTAAACTACCAATGTTTGAATTATTATAGTGATTGTCAAAGTGTGTAACTGGAAGTTGCTAATTATCACATAGGCCATAGATAATCATTGTTTCAACATGAAAAATTGATTTGTTTATAACACGTTATCTCTGTCTATTCCACTAGTCACTTTATTGTCGAGTATCCTTGTTAATAATTTAGAAACAACGGTCGCGAATAAAGCACAAGTTACAGAAACTGGAAGGGAAACCTAGAATTTTGTACCATCTTTAATTTTCCGTGTTCTAATAATCATCCCGACTCGAGAAAGGTAAAAGTTCAAGTTGAAAATAAGGTCGAATCGTAATAGTTATGAAAATTAAAATAAAATTGAGATGAACTGAACTGAACGGCTATGAATTTTTAAATATAACTTGACTGATCCTTAATTTTTCATTGAACTTGCTATCCGGTCCCTTTTTAACTACATTGCTGGTTACATTCATTAGCAACCTCTGGATTCTAAAATCGGCTATGATTTTTTAGACATAACTTGACCGATTCCTCCTTTTCCATTGTACTGGCTATTCAGTCCGTTTTAACAAGGTTGCTAGTTACATTCTTTGGTAACCTCTGAATTCAAAAATTGCACTATTAGTCCCCAAACTATTGCTCAACCTTTTCTGGACTTCCAAAGACTCGTTATAGGTTTAACGCCAGTCCCCATCAACGATTTTTTGTGATATACCCGCCTAAACCCCAAACCAAAACCCAAAACTGATGAATGGGAAGGGCATGTTCAAAACCTTTGTATGCCCTTTCCCTCCACCCTCAAGCCACCCATTCCTTCTCCACAACCGCCATCTCCGCCGCCTCACAAGATTTCATATCCCTATGCTCCAAAGGCCATCTCAAACAAGCCTTCACCATCTATTTCTCCCACATTTGGTCGGACCCACCTCTCTTCTCCCACCTCCTCAAGGAATGCATCGAACGCCACTCTTTCCCGCTTGCACAACAGCTCCATTCCCTCATAATAACTGCCGGGTGTTCCCGGGACCGCTTCGTTTCCAACCATTTAATGAGCGCTTATTCAAAATTGGGCCATTTGAAAGGATCTGTAAAAGTGTTTGATAAAATGCCTAACAGAAATGTTATGTCCTTTAACATTTTGATTGGTGGGTATATACAGAGTGGGGAGTTGGATTGTGCGATTGAGCTTTTTGAACAAATGATTGAGCGAAATTTGGCCACTTGGAATGCGATTATTACGGGGATGGTTCAGTTTGAGTTTAATGAGGAGGCGCTGAATATGTTCTCGAGAATGCACTCTCTTGGGTTTTTGCCTGATTACTATGCTCTAGGGAGTGCGTTGAGAGGCTGTGCTGGATTGAAAGATTTGAGTAGGGGGAATCAGATTCATGGGTATTCAGTGAGATCGGGGTTGGAGTTTGATTTGGTTGTTGGAAGTTCGTTGGCTCATATGTATATGAAGTGTGGTAGCTTGAGAGAAGGTGAGAGAGTGATTCAGTCTATGCCAGTTCATAACATTGTTGCTTGTAATACACTTATTGCTGGCAAATATCAGAATGGGTGTTCCGAGGGTGCTTTGAATCAGTACAAGATAATGAGAATGGCTGGCTTTAGGCCGAATAAAATCACTTTGGTGAGCATTATCAGTTCATGTTCTGAGCTAACAACACTTGGACAAAGCCTGCAGGTTCATGCTGAGGTGATAAAAGCTGGGGCCACGTTGGATGTTTCAGTTGTTAGTTCATTAGTTAGCATGTATTCACGGTGTGGGTGTTTAGATGATGCTGTGAAAGTTTTTGACCAGAGGGAGGGAGCTGAAAATGATCTGGTTTTGTGGAGTTCAATGATTTCTGCTTATGGGTTTCATGGGAAAGGAAAGGAGGTTGTTGAAGTGTTTAAAAGGATGGAGCATGTAGGATTGAAACCAAATGAAGTCACTTTCTTGAGTTTGCTATATGCTTGTAGTCATTGCGGATTGAAAGATGAAGGGCTTCAATATTTCGACTTGATGGTAAAGAAGTATGGACTGGAGCCTCGGTTAGAACATTATACCTGTGTGGTTGATCTCCTTGGTAGAGCAGGCTGTTTGGCAGAGGCAGAAAGCCTGATCAGATCCATGCCTGTAAAGCCTGATACTGTTACATGGAAAACTTTACTATCAGCTTGTAAAATCCATAAGAATGCTGACCTGTCTAGAAGAATTGCTGAGGAAATTGTTAAAATGGATCCTCAAGATTCAGCTTCTTATGTGCTGCTTTCAAATATCCAAGCTTCTGCTAAAAGATGGCATGATGTTTCAGAGGTGAGGAAAGCAATGAGGGAAAGAATGGTCAAGAAAGAGCCGGGGATAAGCTGGTTTGAGCTGAAGAATGAAATTCACCATTTTGTTATGGGCGATAAATCTCATCCTCAGTCTAAAAAGATCGACTTGTATTTGACAGAACTGATGGCCGAACTGAAGTTGCATGGTTATGTGCCCGATTTAGGTGCTGTTTTGCATGACATGGATGTGGAGGAAAAGGAGGATAACTTAGGACATCACAGTGAAAAACTGGCTATTGCTTTTGCTCTGATGAATATGCCGCTGGGTGTTCCAATAAGGATAATGAAGAATTTGCGGGTCTGCGGTGATTGCCATGTTGTTATGAAGTACATATCCAAGGTTAAAAACAGAGAAATTACTGTACGGGATGCCAGTAGGTTTCACCATTTCAAAAATGGACATTGTTCTTGTGGGGATTACTGGTGAGGTGAGTTTCTCTCTTTTAAAGTAGATGGTACTAATTATATACACCATACTTATAAGCTGTAGTGATATTCATCACAAGAGGGGATAACAATTCGACTGGTGCCATGCTTAAAATTTAACATATCCAAGGTTAAAAACAGAGAAATTATTGTATGGGATGCTAGTAGGTTTCACCATTTCAAAAATGGACATTGTTCTTGTGGGGATTACTGGTGAGGTGAGGATCTCTCTTTTAAAGTAGATGGTAGTAATTATATACACCATACTTGTAAGCTGTAGTGATATTCATCACAAGGGGGGGTTACAATTCGGTTGATGCCATACTTAAAATTTCTTTCTGATTTTTCCAAATGTTACTGACAGTTTTATGATAGATTTTCTTTTCCTTCTTTTTGCTCAATTTCTATTAACAGATTCGT